ATTGGGGAAAACTAAGGTGGACTGAAAGCATTGATTATGAAATTCATGATGAGAGGGACGAATGTGAGAATCAAGGGGGATCCTAGTCTGTCCAAAATTAGGGTTTCTCTCAAGACCATAGTGAGGGCAATCCAGGGAGCAGGGATGAGATTCTTGGTAGAGCTCTAGAGCCTCGATGGAGGAGGAAGTAAGAGGAAAGAGGAGGAGATCCAGAGATAGTCTGGCCACTCCTACAACAATTTAGTTAGGTGCTCCAACTGCCTTAAGGCCTACCATCCCCTAGGGAGCATGAGCATGTCATCATCCTGAAGGAGGGGGTATCCCCTATCAGTACTCGTAGGTTCAGAAAGATGAAATTAAGAGACTGATTAAGGAGATGTTGGAGGCCCAGATAATTCATCATAGTGTTAGTCCCTTATCAAGTCCTGTGTTTTTGGTGAAGAAAAAGGATGGTAGTTGGAGATTTTGTGTAGATTATCGAGCTTTGAATAAAGAAACAATGTTGGATAAGTTTTCTATACCAGTCATTGATGAGTTATATGGAGCGATGATGTTCTCCAAGATTGATCTAAAATTGGGATATCATCAGATTAGAATGCGGCCCGTTGACATCTAAAAGATTGCTTTTAGGACTCACGAAGGCCACTACGAGTTTTACCATTTGGGCTTACCAACGCCCTAGCTACCTTCTAGTCGGTTATGAACAAGGTATTTCAGCCCTACCTTCGCAAGTTTGTATTGGTTTTCTTCGATGATATTTTAGTGTATAGTCGGTCTAAGGCAGAGCATGTGGAACACTTGAGGATGGCGTTAGTAACATTGAAGGAGCATCAACTGTATGCCAATTAGAAGAAGTGTTCCTTTACATAGCAGAATGTGGAGTATTTGAGACGTGTTGTCCAAATCAGGAGTAGCTGCAGATATTTTCAAGATAGAGGCTATGTTGGAGTGCCCCTTACCCAAAACCCTGAAGGAGTTGAGAGGGTTCTTGGGATTCACAGGGTACTACAGGAAGTTTATGAGGGGATACAATTCTATAGCATGGCCATCGACATAGCAACTGAAGAAGGATAATTTCAAATGGGGGGTGGCAGCCACCCAGGCATTCAAACAGCTGAAGAAAGCCATGATGAGTGTCCATGTGTTAGCACTACCAGATTTCAGCCAGCCGTTTTAGTGGAGACTGATGCATCAGGTTATGGGTTAGGAGCAGTTCTTATGCAGAGTTAGAGACCCATAGCTTATTTTAGCCAGGTTTTGACCACTAGGGCCAGACTGAAATCAGTGTATGAAAGGGAGCTGATGGTAATACAAAAGTGTCTACTTTATCTGTTGGCACGACACTTCATAGTCAGGACCGATCAGAGAAGTTTGAAGTTCCTGTTAGAACATACGATGGTGCAGAGAAGCATCAGCGATTGCTTTTCAAGTTATTGGGTTATGACTTCGAGATCCAGTACAAGCTTGGGTTAGAAAATAAAATAGCAGATGCTCTCTCCAGGCGTAGTAAAGACACTCAGGTTATGGCTCTATCTATTCCCATGGTGGTGGATTGGGAGGCCTTGAAGCATGAGTGCGAGTAGGATGAGGAGCTGAGTAAGATCAGAGGAGATTTGCTGCAAGACAAGGATAACCATCCTGTTATTCTTCTATGGGTCCGAAGCTGATATACCAGGGAAGGTTTTTGCTTTCGAGGAAATCGCCACACATCCCTCATTTGTAGGAGTTTCATGGCATAACTATTGGGGGTCATTCAGGAGTTAAAAAGACATATCATATATTGGCAGCGAAGCTATATTGGGTGGGCATACAGAAGGATGTAGAGGAGTTGGTGGCCAGTTGTGATATGTGTCAGAGATATAAATACCTAACTATGGCTCCAGGTGGTCATCTACAACCGTTTGCATTACCCGAGAAGGTGTGGGAAGAGGTGACTATGAACTTCGTTGAGGGACTACCTAGATTATACGAGTTTGCTGTGATTCTAGTGGTGGTGGACAGATAGAGCAAATATGCTCATTTAGTTTCCTTACGCCACCTTTACACTGCCGTGTTGGTGGCAGCCGCATTCATTAGAGAGTTAATTCATTTGCATGGCATACTCGAGTCCATTGTGTATGATCGGGATAAGGTCATTTTGAGCTACTTCTGGAGAGAGTTATTCAAGATTCAGGGGACTATCCTGAAGAGGAGTACAACTTACCACCCATAGATGGATGGTCAAATGGAGGTGGTGAATCACAGTGTGGAGACTTATCTTCATTGCTTTGTATTAGATACACCAAAGGTGTAGGCCAAATAGTTAGCTTGGGCGGAGTATTGGTATAACACTTCATGTCATATCGTAGCCCGAACAACGCCATTCAAAATCCTATATGAGAGATATTCACATCATCTGATACATTATGGGCATGACAACATACCAGTGTTTTCAGTGGAGCAATACTTGAGAGAAAGAGATCGGATTTTGGCAGAATTGAAGGAACATCTATAGAGAGCACAACAAATCATGAAGAAACAGACAGATGGACATAGGAGAGATGTGTAGTTTAAGGTTGGGGACATATGTTTTATTGAAGATCCGACCTTACAAATAAATGACTTTTGCTCGACGAAGGAAATGAGAAGCTCTCCCCAGCTACTTTGGGCCCTACGAGGTAGTGGAGCGCATTGGCTCAGTAGCATATCGCCTACGATTGCCATTGACCTCAACCATCCATCTCGTATTTCATTTATCGCACCTGAGACGAGCCATTAGAAACCACACATTCTCGCCCGCACTATTGGCCACACTGTTAGAGGATATGGAGGTGATATTAGAACTATCGGAGGTGAAAGGGGCGCGCTAAGGAGATAAGGAGATCAAGGAGGTGCTGATCAAGTGGAATGATTTACCAGAATATGAGGCGACATGTGAGCCCTACCGTACTATTTAGAAGCAATTTCCCTTTTTTCACCTTGAGGACAAGGTGACTTTTTGGGAGGGGAGTATTGATGAAGTTGGCAGCAACAATCTAGCTGCTCATGTGGGGCCCAAGACCTCCTTTATCACCTATAAGAGACGAGGCTTTGGGATGAAACTCTTTGGGAAAGGGGAGACTCTTTGGGAAAGATGTAAGGGACATTTATTAAGGGATTTGAGCTGTTTAATGGGGGAGATTATGGTGGGTTAGGATTTTTTATGTTATGTTTTAGAATTTTTGCTGCAGTTTTTGTGAGTGTTTGGATTCCTAGTAGCTACTAGGAATTGTGGGAGAGACAGATTTACCTCTCGAACAATGAATCAACTTGTATCTTTTCTTGCTTTGCTTGGAAATTAGAAAAAATAGCTCTCTTTGTGTTATTTATGGGTTTATTTGGAGTTAGTTGCTTTCTTTTTTAATATTGTTGTGTGCTGTTTTGATCATCAAGTCCTATCATATTCATGTGCCTCATTGCATGCTAGATTTTTTGCTTGAGTAGTCGTCGTCTCATTGCCTGATTTATTTTCACTCAAGCAACTTGTGTTCAGTATTTGAGGGTGATCCACATTGCCAACGTTCGTTATTCATGAGTCATCCTGGAATTTTAGAGTTATCTATCACAATCTTAGATGCTTCACTCGAGATTTTGGCTAGAAGCTCTCATAGTATTGAGAATAATCCAAGCCATCGACTTCCTTTTGATATTGCTTAGAAATAAATGATTTTGGGCATGTAATGATAGTTTTTAGTTTATAGAAATTTGCATATTTCTTTCCCCTCGTGTACATGTGGGACGTTGAGCTCTTAGTGCGGCTTAAGTGCGACTGACTTTTTTCGGGGAAAGACTTCTTGATATAGATTTTTGCTAATGTGATTATTTCAGTAAAAACAGTTACAGATATATGTTTTGATTGGGGTGTGATACTTGATCAATGTGTGTTTTTATGGTTTCAATTTCTCACTATATCTCTTATTCAACGACCATGAAGTTATTATTTGGAACAAACTATTTCTTATTTTTTTGCTTGCATCAAAAGAAAGCGAGTGATTATTTTGATTGGCGATTTTTAAACTGTGAATTTTAAATCATGATTGCTTGTGTTCAATTAATAATATTATTCAGTTGCATTAGGAACCCTAAACTTGAGGTTGTCTTCCATCAAGTGCTGATCTGGTTGAAGCCATAATTTTCTAGGTCGGATAGATTGATGTGAACGCCAAACTCCATTCGTGTAGCAGACATGGTCGGCCTCTGTAGCTATCATTATGCTCTCAATCACTGTTAGGTGAAGCAGTTCTTGTAGCAGTTGTGTCGATTGTAAGAGCAGTTTATGAGCCTTGTTTCCTTTGGGATTTTCGTCTGCATGGTTGGCGTGCTTCATTGCTTGTGGGATTTCCACTAGAGTAGTTCGTGCTCCAGATCTGAGGATGATCAAAATTGTCAACCTTTGTCCTTATCAATTTCCTTTTGATATTGCTTATAAATAAATGATTGTAGACATGTAATAGATAGTAATTGACTTCATAAAATTTTATAGCTTTTTCCAAAATTTTGTGCTTGTGGGATGCTGAGTTCTTCAAGTGCGGTGCAAGTGTGACTACTTATTTATGGGTGAAGTCTTTTCTTGGCATGAGGCTTAACTTTTTTTATTATTTGTATCATATCTTGTTCTCTTCTTTGTATGCATAATTTGTTATTGATTTATAAGAAGTGATTGAATTTAGTCCAAACTACTATAATTGGATTTTCTAGCTGCGACGTGATTCTTGATTGAAGCCTGTTTTTTTATGGTGACCACTGAGTTATTATTTGGAATGAATTCTTTATATTTTTTTAAGTTTCTTCAAATAAAGCGAGTGATTTCTCTAATTGTTGTACTTTTAACTGCAAATTCTGAATCTTGTTTGCTTGAGTTTGATTAGTCACATTAATAACTCTAGATCATCATGCACCCTTTGAAATTACATATTAGGCATAACAGGGCATGATTTTTGTTTTTATTCAATATATCCTGTTTATTACCTTACAAAATGCAGGCCAGGAAGACCTTAATGATGTTTCTGCTGCGAAATACACATCCTGTTGCTCCGGATCTATCATCTATTTCAGAAAAGAAGCTACCCAAGGACGCACGAACTCCACCCAAACCAGCTGCCACATTGGAGGGCCTTATTGCTGAAGATCCATTTCCAATTGAAAATGGTGATAAAGATAGTGACTTAAGTTGTGATTCTACCGTTAGCACTTCCAAATACCTAAATGAATATGGAAACCACTCAGATGTTGCTGAAGATGAAGGATGGATAACAATCCCAAAAAGTATGCTTCGCACCTAACTACATGTTCATGAAATGCTGTTAATGGTACTTTTATTGGAGTTTACTGTGTGCTAGTTAGTATGCATGTGTTGCAACTTGAGTTTTTGTAACTGAAATTATTATTTTTTTCTCATTTACATTGTATTGTGATGAAAATATGCGTGCCAATTGGAAAAATCAATAATTTGAATCAATTGATGATCTTAAACACATATTGGAAACCATTTAAAAAAAATGTTAGTAATCTCTCAAGTGATAAATACGTTAAATATATATAAATATAATGATGGATAAGAAGTATTGGTTTAAATTAGGATATTATTATTAATGTGTTTGTAGCATAATGCAGGCATCCCAAATGCTTTACAAACTCTCACAATGATTGTATTATTTGTTGACCTCGATAATTATTCCGCTGCATTAATTCAAGTAAGGCGAAACGATGAGTGAACATAGTGATGCTGTACCAAACCTATCTGAAACGTGTCAACCAAAATTCAAAATTTGCTCGAATGGCATCCGTTTACGAAACAGACAATGCTGACATGCTCGAGACAACCGAAAATGCTAAGTAATTGTGTCCTTTCAATTACATCAATAAAAGCTTATTGACACTTAAAACTGTTTTATCAAAATTGACTAAAGGAAGAGCCAGTCATATCACATACACGTCTGCTTCAATCATCATTGAAGTCGCGGGGTGTGTGTCTCTTATATGTGCTGTTACTTCATTATCGGGCAATGCAAAAGAAACACACAACACATTGAAATTTGCTCATCATGCAAAATGCATTGAGATTTTGGCATCTCAGATCAAGATTATTTATGGAAAATCATTGATAAACAAATATCAAATTGAGATAATGTCACGACCCGGCCCGAATGCTCGATCTAACGAGGCGGGTACGAAAAGTCGGACGATATTACATTTCCATCAATATAAAAATAACTCATCAACATAAACTTTTCTATTAACTGAAGAGCCACTAATGCATAAATCATAAATTACCTGTTGTCATTTGCACGCTGCCTTTTGTAGACAAATTCTTCTCTTTCAGCCATTTTTAAATCACAGAAAACTTACCTGAAACATTAGGAGGATGGGTTGAGTTTAAGTGTAAACTTAGTGGGTAATTCTCATCATCACTTAATATGCATAAAATTCACTAAAATGCAATAAAATTAACCTTTACATTGGTGTACTTTTGATTTATTTTATTCATTTCCTTTCATTTGTTTCATTTAAACATATCTCATCATACATATCCCATCATATAAAATTCATCATATTCATTTATAAAATTTCTTTAATCTATATTCTTTTTCCTTTTTAATTCGTACATGAGCACCGTCTAAATGTACCCAAAGATACAATCATTTCCATTTCATTTTTCCATTCCCATTCCCTTTTCTCTTTTAACGTGTACGAGTACGTTGCTTCCCTAGCTAGTACCATACGGGGGTGAACATCTGTACACTTTGCACGCATAACCTTTTCCCTTTTCCTTTGATTCATTCATTTTGTTATCATTTTATATTCTTATAATTGTATACATGATATATATATATATATATATATATATATATATATATATGATTTATCCATACTTTATCTATGCTTTTCATTTTCACTTTCCAAATTTTTTTCATTTATTTTCTTTCATATATTTACACTTTCTTATTCTTAAAGCTTCAATCATTTTCAATCAATGCATTTAAAATTCTCCAAAAGAACTATATAATTATATGCACTATTATTTTCAGATTTGCAATAAAAATAAAATAATGAAAATTTACACATATAATTACCCACATTAATCCTTCCAAAAACCTCATTCTTGGAGCAACCTCAACTTCAAGTTCCTACAACTTTCACAAAATATAACTTCTATAAAAACGTACTTTCATAACAAAATTGAATTAAATTTGTATAATAGAAGAGTCACTTACAAAGAAAAATAGGGATTTTCTCAAAGTTCGTAAATCCTTCTCTCCCAAAATTCTTTCCCCTTGCCTTCGATTCCTTCTTTTATCTTCAATTTAATGTTTCTAATGATTAGATAAATAATTAGAAAACAATTTATATAAAAAATTAGCAAAATAAACCTTTTCCCTCTTTTCCTCGTCGTTCCTCTCGCTCATTGAAACTTCTCCTGAATTAGTACTCCTTTAATGGTAGAAATGAAAAGGAATGATCAATTCTTACCCTCCAACACAACCGTTTGCTAACATTGAAAAAAAAAAGAACTTACCTCGCTCTCGCTCGACGCCTGCGGCTGTCCGTCCCTTCCTTTCGCGAATGGCCCCTCTGTTTCGCGAAAAGCTTTGCCCGCCCCTTATGATAAGTTCGGCCGGTTCGACTGAATCGGCCGGACCGAACCGGTTATTACAATCTCTCATTCTTATAAAAATTTCGTCCTCGAAATTTAATCAAGTATAAGAAAACCATACCTTAGCTAAATAGATGAGGATATAGACTTTTCATTTCAGCTTCCTTCTCCTAGGTGGCGTCTCTTTCTGATCCATGCTTCCATAAAATCTTCACAAAAGGTATTGCTTTATGTCTCAACTATTTTACATCATAATCCAGTATTCGTTCAGGTTCTTTAATATATTTCAAATCAGGCTGCAAGTCGATTGATTTGGATTGAATTCTCTTGCATTCATCTGAGACATACTTTCGAAGTACTGATATGTGAAACACATTACGAATTCCTTGCATATGCACTGGTAGATCCAATCTGTATGCCATATTTCCAATCCTTTCAATGATTTCATAGGAACCTATGAATCTTGGGCTCAATTTTCCTGTCTTTCCAAACCTTTGGACACATTTCATTGGATTGACTTTTAGGAAAACAAATTCTCCTACTTCAAATTCCACTGAAGGGTGCTTTGCATCATAATACTTCCGTCGTCTGTCTTGAACTGCCTTTAGTCTGTCTCTAATCAATCTGATTTTTCTAGTAGCCTTATCTACTAGTTCAATTCCAATTACCTTTATTTCACTAGTTTCCACCCAACACAAGGGTGTTCTGCATTTTCTTCCATAAAGAGTCTCATATGGTGCCATTCCAATGCTAGCTTGAAAACTGTTGTTGTAAGCAAATTCAATCAACGGTATGTGAGTCTCCCAATTTCCTCCAAAATCTAAAACACAATCGCATTAAATCCTCTAAAGTCTGAATTGTTCTTTTTAATTGCCCATCTGTCTGTGGATGAAATGCTGTACTGAAAGTCAGTTGCGTGCCCATAGCTTTATGAATTTTCTTCTATAATTTAGAAGTGAAAAGGGCATCTCTGTCTGAAACGATAAATTTTGGAATTCCATGCATTCTCACAATTTCATCAACATATAATTTTGCCAACTTCTCCATTGAATCTGACTGTCTGATTGGTAAGAAATGAGCTGACTTTGTTAATCGGTCAATAACAATCCATATTGCATCCCGACTCTATCTTGACCTGGGTAATCCAATCATAAAATCCATTGCAATGTCTTCCCATTTCCACTCAGGTATAGTTAAAGGTTGTAGTTGACCACTTGGCTTTTGATATTCTGCTTTAATCATCTGACAGGAAATACATTTTACTACAAATTCTGTAACACTCATCTTTAATTCTGGTAATCAAAACATTCCTCTAAGTTCCTGATACATCTTTGTACTGCCTGAGTGAATTTCATATGTTGAGAGGTGAGCTTCCTGCAATATCTCTTCTCTTAAGCTTCTAACATTTGGAATACATATCCTGTCTTTATACTTTAATTATCCTTCTCCATCCATAACAAAATTCTCTAACTGTCCTGCTTGCACTTTCTTTGTGATGTCTTGAAATTTCTCATCTTGAGATAATAAATTGAGCACTTTATCTTTCAAAATAGATTGGATCATCAACTGATTCAACATCATATCTTTTGTATTTTTCTGATTGATCACTGAAAGCTCTAATCTTTCCATGTCTATAATTATTTGTTCCTGCTGGATGATTAGCCAATTTATATTTCTAAAAGCTTTTCTACTAAGTGCATCTGCAACCACATTTTCCTTTCCAGGATGATACTGTATATTCAAGTCATAATCTTTAATAAGCTCTAACCACATTCTTTGTCTCAAATTAAACTCTTTTTGATTAAAAATATACTTGAGACTCTTATGATATGTAAACACTTCACATCCTATATAGGTAATGTCTCCATATTTTGAGTGCAAAAACTACAGTTGCCAATTCTAAATCATGAGTGGGGTAGTTTCTTTCATGAATTTTCAATTGTCTTCAAGCATAAGCCACCACTCTACAATACTGCATCAATACACACACCCAAGTACTCTCAATGAAGCATCACAGAAAATTTGGAACCCTTCTGAATATGATGAAATTGTCAAAATCGGGGTAGTCATTAAACAATTCTTTAATTTCTAAAAAGCTCCTTCACATTGATCACTCCTCAAATTTCACTGCTTTCTGAGTTAATCTGGATAACGACATTGCAATATGAGAAAACCCCTCTACAAATCTCCTGTAGTAAGCAGCAAGTCCTAGAAAACTTTTCACCTCAGAAACTGTTGTTGGCCTTGGCCATTCAGCAATGGCTTGAATTTTATTTTGATCAACTGAAATACCTTCACCGTTGATCACATGCCCAAGAAAGGTTACCTTGCTCATCCAAAATTCACACTTTAAAAAGTTTGCATATAATTTGTTCTCCTTTAATGTTTGCAACACTGCCTGTAAATAACTGAAATGGCTCTCTTCATCTCGTGAATAGATCAGAATATCATCAATAAACACAATCACAAATATTTTCAGAAATGATTTAAAAATTATGTTCATCAAATCCATAAATATAGCAGGTGTATTTGTCACTTCAAATGACATTACCATAAACTCATAGTGGTCATATCTGATTATGAAAGATGTCTTTGCTATATCTTCCTCCTTAACCTGTAACTGATGGTATCCAGACCTCAAATAAATTTTAGAGAAAACTGTAGCCCCTTC